CCATTTTCTAGCTGTATTTTTAGTTGTTGCTGTTTGTTTTAAAAGTCGACTTTTGAGAGTTCTTTTTTGGATCACAAATAATTGTAAATTTGTTTGCAAATATTTGTTCCCAATCTATAGCTTGTGTTTTCATTCCCAAATATATACATATTTAAATTAACATGTACCTCTATGGTCAACACGACTATTCCCATACAATTGGTATTTTCCTTTCCTCAGCAACTTTTCCTTTCTTTATCTAACGTAAATACACAATTCTATTATTTTCATACATGATATAATTATGTTTAATAAAACTCGTCATCTGATCTTATGATTCTTGGTTAAATGGCATTGGAGGATGGGAGACTGCAACTCAAACTAATGGTGTGTTAGAAATTAAGATATCTGTTCACAAAAAGATGAAAGAATTCAATTTTATTACTTTACTAGGCCAAAGTCCAAACAACCAGTTGGAAAATGGAAAATGGAATTCTATAAATGTATATTGTTTGATACTATAAAGTTAATATTTTATTGAAAAGATTTAAAAATATTTTTATCAGATTTGTAATTTTATCAAATTAGTATGCTCACTATAGTGTACTAATAAGAGTGATTACATTTTACTTTATTTCAACTTAAATCCTCTTCATAGAATTTAAGAAATGTCAAATTCTTCTGTTGTGTCAACAACTGCTCTCCAAATGAGTGTTTTATCATAAATGTTGCCTTTTATTCTTTTTTACTTTCATTTGAAAACAACCCACAACGGTTTCTGTGAATGAGGGAATGTTTCGTTTAATTTTAGCTTTTCTTTTTGTGTTTTAAACTTCTTTTGGCTTTTGTTTTATGTTTTATGTTTTGTTTGTATGGACTAGATTTTGCTTTTTTTTTTTAATTTTAATTTTTAGCAAGCATGGGAGTATATTCTCGCATACACCTTGGGAAAGAGAACACCCTAAATGTGGCTTAATCAACATTGTAAATCATTTTCTCTCTTTCCCATTGACTGGGATATGTGCATTGTCGAAAACGTGTGCTCTAGGGGCGTACTTTTTTAGTCAAATTAGCTGCCTGCCTGTAATCAGGACTGTATCAACTGTTGTCATTCTAAATGTTTCCTTTCTTTTTTTCAAACACATTTGCCTGATTGACCTTTTTTTTTTCTCTGTCTTTCTATGGGGCTGCTCCAGGAGCCATGGCTAATCATCTTATAAGCAATGCTCTGCTCCGTCCGCATGGTACTAACAATCCCTATAATACATTGCTTGGGGAACCGGCGGTCTGTAACAACCCTTCTGTCAGCATGTACAACGCACAAGGTGTGCTGGAGTTTATCTTAATTTTTCCAAGTGAGAGTCCCATTTTATGTGGCTTTTATGGGCGCATTCTATTTCCTTCCTCCTGCCTTTCTTTGTTTTGGAAGCAGACACACAGACTCTTTTCGCATTCCACCCCTCTTGGTGCTTTTATTTTCCATTTTCCTTAGGTTTCCCTTAGTAAGACATGGATTCCTTCTGATGAACCAAACAGTTGATTCATCAATATGTGTTTGTTTCTACTGTAATGTTATAAAATGTATTTGTGGTTTGTCAGTGCTTTTCTTGTTCACTTATTTCTATATTGAATAACTATGTATTTACCTCGAGAAATGAGAGAGGTGCCCGAGGTAAGTAAGATAAAGGAAGACTTGCTTCAGTAGTCGTAATGTTACATGAGATCAAGAACATGAATCTTACTTTGCTATACCATGAAGTACACCCTGAGCACAAAACATTCGTACTGATGAAAGCATTTAGATCAACTCTAGGAAAAATTACTTAACTATGCAGTAGAGGAAAGAGCAGTGATCTGACGAATAGCAGCTCAGGTTCTACTTTAGCTCTGCCATTGCCTACCTGAGCTTGGCTCAGGCAGGTCACAAAGTTGCTTTTTCTACATGTTAAAAATGGCTTCTCTGTATATCCTCTAGCTTGAAAATGATACAAAAATGTATTTGTATGTCAAACAAATAGGCCCAGATCTCTTCAAAACCCCTTAGAATATAAGCATTTGGATATGGTTTTACCTATTCCAAGTATAAAATTTTGTTAGGGGCACAAAATATTTAAAATATTTATATTGGATGTAAAGAGACCACACAAAAAAATATTCAAATATAAGTTTCATAAAAGAAAAATCTTAGTGATCTTACTTAAAATTATATTTGAAAGAAAATTCACTGTAACAAGGAGACCTCTTCTTTGGTTCCTTCAAGTTGAACCTGATTGATTAGCAGTATTTAAATTTTTCAGGAAATTTTGAATAAAATTTCTATTAACCTCTGTGGGAATCGTTGGGTTTTTTTTTTTTTCTTTCTCAATCAGAAGTAAAAGATTAGTGGTGTGTGAATGTATAAAACTTGATCCGTTTGTTTTTACATGGCCATTGGGTATCTAAAACCAGAGCTTCCTCAGGGAGCACTTTGCTGGATACAAAGGATGATATAAAACTATTTTAAAAATACCAAATTAGTAATTCAAAAGTGACCTCATGAATATTGTTAAGATATTTGGAATACAATGAAATAAATGTGCTGGCATATCGGTCAATTTTGAATGATGTTAAATGAAGATTTTCACCATACCTGCAAATTAAATGCATTCTACATTATTCGCTTTACACAGAAGAGCTGTTGGTAATTATTTTAAAACAAGTAATACATTTGGATCACATTTTGTTTAGCTTTTTGGTTACTCAGATATAATTTCTTATATAATGAAAAAGTAACAATCTGTATGGTTTTCCTAATTCAATATCTGCCTTCTCATCATACTTTACTGGTATCCTAAAGTAAGGGGTTTTTCTAAGGATGAAATACTTCTATAAAAACTATCCAATTGAAATTCTCACAATGTAAAGTTTAAAATAATGCCCCATAAAGTCTGATTTCTGTGGACTTCATTACTAGTTATTGCTATTATCACAATATATACACAAATGATTCTTCTTTTGTCTTTTATTCTTGTAAATTCAATTCTACTGACTTTTCTTAAAAACAAAAGTAAATAATTTTATTAATGTTTTCCAGAGTTAGAAGTGTAATTGTATACTATATCTTGTTTTAATATTTTTAAGATGTTTAAAAACTATGGTAGTGCTTAAAATAACTTTTTTACCACTGACCAAAAATAAATCTTGGTGATTGTCATATTGCTACTAATCTTATGCTTTCAGATGAATGCACTTATATTCTTACTGGCAAGGTGAAATCTTACATGAAATATAGGTGGCTCGGTATGTACTGGAGTGGTTTATGTTGAATTACCACTTGGCTCTGTTCTGTGGATCCTCTAATTCACCTGCACCAATGATATCCAGGAATAGAAGCATTCCAATTTAAAATTTCCATTCCTGTTTGTAATGCCTTTATTTAAAATATGTAAAGATGGTGTTGATAGGAATAAAGATGAATAATAGACTCTGAATTCAATATAATAAAAGTATATCTGTGGAAATATTTAAAATTTCACATGTAGTATTTCTGGACCATTATCTTCTTGTCAGTATTAGAAATTTAATTTTTGTAAAGATAAATCTCATTACATACAGAAAAAAACCTATAAACAACATAATATAAAAAGGATGTCAGGATTCCACTAATACAATTTATATTTTAAAGTAATTTAATTCAATTCTAAAACTTTAAAAATATATTCATAGTATGGAATATAGTGACAAATATATTATAGTTGGTAAGAATAGAAGCCTATTTTAGAAAGCATATAAGTTAATATTCTGTTATGACTTTCAAAGCCCAAAAGGCAGATGTGAAATAAAGGAGATTGCAGCAGACAGTTGGAAAAGGTCTGAAGGACTCCCTTTCCGATACCTGCTCCGTCATATTAGCAGGGTGGTATTAGATAAAGCCCGGCCTCTCTTGGCTGCATTATATTCCTCTCTGGAAAGCAGGAATTGGACTTCAGTGATCTCTCATCTGTTTTCCAGTTCTAAAATTCTCTCATTTAACAAATGCACCATAATGAGCCTACACACATTTACATCTGTTGATATACTGCCGTGGCTCTTTACTTCAAATTCTTATTCTAAAGCTGTTTTGAAATTTTAAAAGAGATTTTCCTCTGCATTTGGAAATATTGTTGATCTTTTTGCTGAAAAGAAAATCAACCTTTAAAGTATACAATCTTATCTCTTAAAACAATAGTTAAATTATAACAAGTTGGAACCTGTTGAAATGATCTGGCCCAATGAATATGCTGTTTTCATTTTGTGATATTTTAATCTTTTTGTAAGTGAAATCAGCAAGAGCAATTCTTTCAATCTGATTAAAGTATGAGTTTTTTATATAAAAAAAATAATTTTCCTAGGATTGTTTTTAAGAGATCAACCCTCAAAATGTTTGGTTGCATACGATTGTACAACAATCCAGAAGAAAACCTGACATTGTTGGCGGTATTCCCTCCCCTCATATTTTCTTGATACAGAATAAATGTATTTAACCTTTTTTTCCTCCATAGTTACACAACTTTTGAAAATGAACTCCAGAAATGACAATATTGATCAGTTTTCATTTATAAGAAACATTTCTGTAGGTACAATGGGGAAATTAACCTTTGTGTAGGGAAACAGAAGATACATAAGGGAGGAAAAAACATAACAAAAGCCTTTAACTATGGTTTTCTTTCTGTATATAAGATGAAGACTTTAAAATTTTACTGAAAGTTTTTAAAATTAAATAATATTCCTCAGAAGCAGGTATGCTCTAACATATACACAAACATAAATAAAATTGAAATATAATGGTGGAAATAGTCATAGCTTGCCCTTAAGTTTTTACTCTCCTTGGTTCGTGTGATAATCTTAACTTTAAAATAAGTGTGCATTTGTTGAATTGAAATTTACAAACTGTAGAAATGCTTATTAAAGCCTCATATTAGCATGTGTTAAGGGGGATTTCTTATTTTCTGACTAACATTTCAATATTTTTAATTATGATAAACCATGTAACACAAACTCACGAATTTTGGGGCAGTGAAAATTATTTCCTTGACTCTTTTTTCTGCATATCATCAATTTGCTTTTTACTCATGTTTCTTCTACTGTCGCTGTAAGCTTACTTGTTGTTTTTTCTTTCCTTTTCTTCATGCTGTCGTTTAGAGCCCTACAGAGAGACAAGTATGGGAGTAAAGCTAAACATTGCATATCAAATGTAATTTTTTTTAGTTCACTTTTATTGCATCACATATAGATGATGTAGTTATTAAAAACAGTTCATCTCACAATTTTAAAACTAAAGAACCTATGAAATCGACTTATATAAATATATGTTAATAGAGATTAGACGCTTTTGTTGTCTGATTCTTTTACTCTGTCACATAATCAACATAGTTGTTAAGTCTCATGTAATGTTTGTGTGAGTTAAATTGTTTTTAAATTAAGCATTTATTTTTGCTAAGTAATTCATAAACTTTTGATTTTTCTTAGTACATTCCATCATAAAAATGTGTCACATGCAGCATACCCACTTTATTTTGCTATGGCTGCTTTCAGCCGGTACCTCATGCATTGACAACAGAAATAATAAACACGTGTTTCAATGCATCAGCCACCAACCATAACCATTAAGCATACCACGGCAATCACCCATCACATACAGCCCTTTAAAAAGCATTTACTTTTGGTTTTTTCTTAACATTGTGGATTTGTCTACAAGATATAAAATGAAAATAAACTGCTTCACCCTATGTCTGTGATAGCTGCTTATTAAAATGTTTTATGCACTATTATTTTTCAAAACTATGTTGTTACTTGATACCATCAAGTATGCATCAGAAGTCCATATAAAAATTGACGTATTTGATAAACTAGCAATGAATGAGTTGACTTTTGATAAACGTAACTGCATCACAGATATAGAATGAATGCTATATTTTCACATTAGCAATGTATTAACAGAATTCTCCAGTTAATTTTTCTTTAAAGAAATACCCTTTCTGATTTACCAATATTGGTTATATGTGTTTTTTCCTTTTGTGGTTGCATTTGAAGTGATTTATGAAACTATTGTAGATCTTGGATTTCTGTTCATTCAAGGGAATGTAAAAACCTTGAAGAAATATGTGGTCAAATTTATTTCATTGCAGCTGTTTCTTACCAGAATAAAATGTTTATCAACTTTTAAACCCAAAGTTTAAAATGCACACAAAATCATCACTCATTATTGAATGGTAACGTTAACACTGACACGAGGTTTTTAGGAATCAGATCCCTGTGTCTTTACAAATTCTTTTGTAGTATTACCTAATGACCCTAAACAATCACCAATGGGCTAATATATAATAATAATCAAATCCAAATACTTATGTTTTGAAAGTTCCTATGTATAAATTATTTTGATGTGCCATTTATTTGACTAAGCATTATTTCATGACCTCATCATTCTGACAAATTTAACATAATCCTTTTGTGGTTTTGTGTGTAGATATTTTTAATCTTACAAAATTCTATATCAAATTATTAGAAACTGTTTATTTTGTTTTTGACCAGTATGTATACTCAAAGTACCACACACGAATTATGTTAATATTATAGCTATTTCAATGTTAAGGCAACATGTGATATTAAGGGTAATGAATTATTTGACTTTGATGTGTATAAATTGAAAGCTATAAATGACTAAACCAAAATTTTACTTTATTTTGTCCAAGTTATAATCAAATATACTTGAAATAATGTTCATGTTTGTATAGAAATTGCAAATTGATAATTTATTGGTTTTTAAGAAATTCTTCTGAAGATTTACTTTGCTACTTTTCCATTTGTAAAATTTGTCAGTTGTCCAATTATGTACATTTATACATATGCACAAATAGATTTAATAGTATTTTTTGTTTCTTTCCAAACATTTTATACTTAAGTAAAAATGCTAGCAATTTATACATATTTCATAGTCGATGAATGTTTTTGCTTTTGTGTTTGTGTGTGTTGTATGGCCCTTTTGGATATAAATGTCATAGTGTCTTGTAATCTTTTTCAGAGGGGCTTCTGAACAATGCCAGGGATACAAGTGTCATGGATACTCTACCACTGAATGGTAACCATGGCAATAGTTACAGCATTGCCAGCAGCGAATACCTGAGCAACTGTGTGCAAATCATAGACCGTGGCTATAACCATAACGAGACCGCCCTAGAGAAAAAGATTCTGAAGGAACTCACTTCCAACTATATCCCTTCTTACCTGAACAACCATGAGCGGTCCAGTGAACAGAACAGGAATCTGATGAACAAGCTGGTGAATAACCTCGGCAGTGGGAGCGAAGACGACGCCATTGTCCTGGATGATGCCACCTCCTTTAACCATGAGGAGAGTTTGGGCCTGGAACTCATTCATGAGGAATCAGATGCTCCTTTGCTGCCCCCAAGAGTTTACTCCACAGAGAACCACCAGCCACACCATTACCCCAGAAGGCGGATCCCCCAAGACCACAGCGAGAGCTTTTTCCCTTTGCTAACCAACGAGCACACAGAAGATCTCCAGTCACCCCACAGGGACTCTCTCTATACCAGCATGCCAGCGCTGGCTGGTGTGGCCGCCACAGAGAGCGTTACCACCAGCACCCAGACCGAACCTCCACCGGCCAAATGTGGTGATGCCGAAGATGTTTACTACAAAAGCATGCCAAACCTAGGCTCCAGAAACCACATCCATCAGCTGCACACTTACTACCAGCTAGGTCGTGGCAGCAGTGATGGCTTTATAGTTCCTCCAAACAAAGATGGGACCTCTCCGGAGGGAAGTTCAAAAGGACCTGCTCATTTGGTCACTAGTCTATAGAAGATGACACAAAAGTTTAAACCAACAAAACTGCTAACACCTTGATGACTGTTCTGAGTTGATATAAGCAGTGGTAATAATGTGTGTACTCCTAAATCTTTACGCTGTTCTTGAAAGACAAACTCTCTCAGACTTTTTTTTTTTTTTTAAATGGGATTTTTAGGTCAGCCCAGGGGAGAAAGATAACTGCTGAAATTCCCCTGTGCCCCTTCCTTTCCTGTCCTTTCCCCTCAGATGGAGACTTCATTATGTTAATGAACGAGATATGAAGAAAATGGCACTCATTGTGGCCTTGTTGAATTATGTTGTGTTTGTTTTAACATCTCTGATGCTCTGTTACTATAATTACAAGGACCTGCTTTTTAAAAGGCCAGAACAATTGTTTGAATTTAGTAACAATGCTGCATCTAGATTGGAGTGCTGCACAAACATAAAAGCAAAGCAAAACTGTATCACATAGTGGTTTTTTGTCACTTACCACCTGAATTCACTACAGCTGGAAGAGCTGTGGAAAACAAAATAAAACAACAAAATTAATAATGAAATGGAGGGGAATTCTAGAATTATATGCTAAATGCATATTTTATGATTTGCTGTATTAACTGATGATAAAACTAATGGCAGAAAAAAAATGAACAATTTCTATGTAATGTACAGATACTAGCATTGCACATATAGTCTGCTTTCTGTTCCTCCAGAATTTGAGTCCTGTTAATGTAGTGGAAAAAAAAAAAGTTGTTTTCTTTTTTCTTTCGTGCTGGTCTTGCAAGTTTGTCTACCAGTAGGAGAGCAAAGTTACCTTCCTTTCCTCTTTTTTTAATTTGCTTTTCTTTTCTCTTTTCTATTCTCTCTTCTTCTTTTTTTTTTTTTCTTTTTTGGCCTCTTTTTTCCTTTAAAGTTTTGCCTGGCAAAAAAATAAATAAATAAATAAGCGAAACTATCACTTTATAAGAATCATTTTCTAGTAATGCAAACAAATTATTTTTTACAAAAAATAAAATAAATAAAATTAGACTTCCTTCCCTCACTATATATCTTTATTTAGTCAGAATCTATTTCCAACAGCATTTTTACAAATTAGAGCAGGACAAAACTCTTATGTTTACAGGGCACACCTGTTGTACTGCAAAGCATATTTGGCAAGCAGTTCATCACCAAGACAGTAGCTAAGATTCTAGAAGTCAAGAGGTGTCTATAGAACTAGTGGGGCTTCTGCATGTGAAAAACGGTATTCCATAGGCGTTACAGTGCTGAATGCTCAGTCTGATCCCCAAGTGGGCACCTGCACTACCAATTTTTAGAGGAAATTCACTCCTTCATAGTAAGAATTGAAAGGTCAAATTATTTCGAAGTGATTTTTTTTTAAAAAAAGTCTTCTTTTTATTAACAGGAAAATTTATTTATTTGACAGGATTTTAAGTAATGTAGGAATACAAGAGAAATTAGCAGCACATATAATTTTTTTTTAAATTTATGATCCATTTTGTATGGTCTCAAAGTTGGATGACCTCATTACTAATATTTGTTGTAAAAGTGAAACTTGTTTGCCAACCAATAAACAACTGATTGAGATTTAGAAGATATTGTATTGATGTATGTACTATATGATTAATTATTCTCATTTTTCTCGCCTTTCTTTCCTTCTGTTTTCAATATATAAACTTATCTAATCCTCTGTGGCTCAAATGAGCCATGCAGAAGAAATCAGTCTGCCTAGTTGAATAACCTAAGCACAAAATTATATAGTTTTTGCAGACAAACCAGAAAAATTGGATGGGCATGTTTATGTTGGCTGAAATAAGATGTATAACTTACTTTCTAGCAGGTTAACATATATGTTACTATGTGCTTATTTATGAACCAGCTACAGTCACCATGATTATTTTAATAGCCAGATTCAATCAGAGATAGAAATAATGAATTTGGGTGGGGGGGGATCATTTTTTCCTCCTTTTTAAGTTCCATTTTGATGTTAGAAACTTAAATTCAATTAAATGTCTAAAAGATGCAGGGATCATGGCAAAGAGAAGATCCATTTTATAAAGACAGTGTAAGACACTTTTTGTCATAATTTTTTTTAATCCTATATATGGGGGAAATGGTAGGGAAAAAAGTCCTTTCAAAGCAGCTTTCCAGATCCTTAATTACTGCAGATTCTTTGCAGCCATGTCCAAGCATGGAGCCCCTCTTAGGACAGAGCTAAAATGAATTTGCCAAATTATAATTTCTCTTGTAGTGTTTTTATCTTGGGGTTTTCTTTTTCAAAAATCTAAACACCACTCATCTATAAATAAATATCTTAAATCAATATGAGAAGGTATAGTTTAGAAAGGGTAATTTATATATAATTTAAAAATATATGGCCAAAACAATTGTGCTGGGCCAGAGTACATCATAACCTTCAATCATATCACCTCAAAATATTTTTATGTATCACTCCTTTCTAATCAATTAACATGAGTATTTTTTTTAAGTCTACGGATTTTCTTTAAATTGGAGGAGAACCACAAGCTTTAATGGTAATTAGGTTTTTCTTAAGCCTATGACAATTATTAGCACCTGAAATGCATTTAATCCACCTGATGCATAGAATACATTTGTCAATCATAGGACCCTTTTTAGACATGTTTCAGGTAACTTCAGAAACACAAATATGGTCTGTGGATTATGAGCACTTAGTCAAACAGTAATATATGAAAGTGACTGTCAGTAAGAAGCTAGTTTCATAGACAAATGAGGAAACTACCTCAATTCAGCTTGCTGATTTTCTGATATTGCTACCTCCCTGCCCGTTATCTTTTGTGTTTGATTATATGGAAATTTGAAGCAGGTAGCCTCCCCAGCACTATATAGACCAAGTTGAAAAAAGATCACTTGACTACATATACTGGTGCAAAAGAACATTCAGTTCATCAACTACTACTAAGCTCTTGCATCAAGATGAAAGGGTGAGATTTTTGAACTCTCATACATTATAATTGGTTTGCTTTCAGAGAGACTTAAAATCCCAAAGATTTTCACAGGGAGAGATTGTTCCATCAAGTTTTATGGAACTATAATGAAAAAACCATGGATAAAGGAATTAATTATACATACATTTCAATAGAAATTTGTGTATATATAACACGTATTCATTTAGTCTTGTTTACACTAGCAAGGGTTGAATTCCTGAACTTGAATCTTTTTTCTTCACATGCATTTTCATGTAGAGCTATTGATAAATAATTTCTCAATTTTTCTTCTTTCCCCACCTTTTGTTGACTCCATTTGTTTCAATACCCTGTGATATTTCTGACCTACTTATCTACATATTTTTGATGTGTTTATCTGATTTTCCAATAAGACATAAATTTCTATTGAATAGACACACTATACACACATAACACCTTATTTAGCCATCTGGAAGTAAAAGTAATGCCAATGAAACAAAGCAATTATTACTTCTTAGTAAAATAATATTTTTATAATATTTTATGCTTGGATTTTTTTCTTCCTCTTTAAAGTCTAGTTCACATGATACTCTATCAGGATGCTTGCTAATGGACTTCATGTTTAGTTGATTCAGAATCTGATGATGGATTGTTGCATAGCCTCTGTTCCTAATTGATCATATTTGTAACAAAATCTATATATTGTGAAGGAGAAATAGGTTGGAACTCCAATTAAATTTTATGGGATTCCTCACTCTTTCCACTCTATTATAATTGAACATGTTGACTTTGAATAATAAATTATTATGCTAAAATAATCATAATGATAAAAAAAGAACTGGCATGAGGACAATTATCTTGAAGTAAAAATAATTGGAAAAATGTATAATCAAAACCACATAATGGAACTACTCTTAACTTCCAGAAAAAAAAAAAATCTATGACTCTATATTAAATATAGTTTATTATCTGTATTTTAAAAATCTCCATTATAATCTAAAAATGTTGACATATTAATGAAAGGATTTTTAAGATTTAAGTTTTTAAATGCTCTAATATTAATTTAGTTGGTGTGACAAAACTTTTTGTGATAATGGAGATAAACATAAAAGGGAATTAGTACCATTTATGAAGGATCTACAAACTAACTTGTAGGCATTATCTTCAGCTTTTTCCTTCACACATGTCCACATCCACTGACTGGTTTGCTCAAAGAATGACGTTAAAAATCCTAATGACTTGACTTTCTGCATTACTGTAGGAGACCAAATGAAAGAAGAAAAAGAATTTCTGGATTATCTAAAAATCAAGTCTGAACTAATCTATAACCATCCCCTATTAATGAAAGAATAGTTTTTAGAAGTTATCCATCAGTATTGTACCAAAGTGCTACTGATTAGAATATTTCTGGAAAAAATAATAAATGCTGCAGAACTACATGCATGTCAATTCAAATTTAGAGAGTTAAAAAAGAACTTAAACCCTAATGTGGGTTTTGAGCAAATCTGAAGATGTTGGCACAAATGTCCTTCTCTAACAAAAATATTGAGATAAAATACTAATATATGAACTTTCCAGTATATTGTAGACCAAGATATTAAGATTTAATTAGTTCATTTGAAGTAATTCATAATCATAATTTACCACATGTTCACTATGCATTCCTAAGTAATGCTTTGAAATCTTATGTTAGATTTCTGCACATCAATAAATTAGGAAGATGGAGGCACAAAAGCAAAGTAGCAACATTGCAAAATAGCTTATACAGGTATTTTTATGTGAAGGAATTCTACATATGCTTCTCTGAGCTCAATTTATTCAATGTATCCCAAAAGAAATTCAGTTTTGTAATCAGCAAATACATCCTTCTTAAACCATCTGAACAATATTATTAAACATCTAAATTTTCATTTGTAGACTAGTAGAAATTAAAAAGTGTTGGTAGCTGCTTCTTTCCTGATTAGGCCACAGGAGGAAACTTTCCTATTTACTAATTAACCCTGATTATTTCCTCTTTGGTTTAAAAGGGAAATCAATTTTTAACTTTCACCTGTACATATACTTACACCCTCTGATTCCTTTTATTTACAGCTTGCAGAGGAAACATCTTGTTTACAATATTACAAACCTGGTGGTTTTTGTAATAAAGGAGGTAGTTAATATGGTTTTGCATATTGTCATTTGAAAGAAAGTTACTGCTATGTCTTCTTTTTTTAATATAAAAAGGTACAAATCAGCACTTCTTTCACATCTAGTAGTTTAAATTACTATTCAAAAGTCTTGATGTTTCAACTGTTTTGATGTTTCTTTCTCTCTCTTAATAGTATGTCAAGTACATTTTTCTCATTTGATAATTGGTGTCCCATTAGAATATTTCAATGGTAAATGCAAACCATGATTTTTAAGAAGGCATGTGAAAGAACGTTGATTTATGTAAGAAGTCAAGGAAGACTATCCATGATAAAACCTCTATTGGTATGAACAAGTCTTTTCAACCACAATATGAACAGAAGAAGGGCAGAACCAACCAAGATGACAAATTTATAGTGAGGTGGCAGGGCCTAAATTAGAGTTACA